CTCATCCCCGCGGAGCCCCGTGCTGAGGTGGACAGCGTCTCGGGTCCCTGCTGTACCATCTTTACACCACCACGGAGCATAAGCCGCCCGACCCCTCAGACTTCCACATGGGAAACGGATGTGAAGCATCTCACCTCCCTAAGGCGGACGGAGAGCCCAGGGGCCTCGGAGCCCTGTCCGGCCGGAGCTGGTTGAGTTCTCCCACTGGCCTGGCCTGAGCCCTTGGACCGTGACGGATTCTGTCTCCTGAGATCGGGCCGCGCCTTCTCACATCTGCGTTGCCAGGACGGGTCCCCGGTCCTAGCAGAGGAAGGCACGCGGCCGCCGCTCCGAAGGAAGCTTGGCGGGAGGAAGAAATAACAGGAGGCAACGCCAGAAACATTTCTCATAGCACGGGGGCCGTGTGCACAGAGGCCGTGTGTGTGTGTGCGTGCACGCGCGTGCACCGGTGTGCACAGGGTTAGGCAGGTATGTCTGTCCACACCCTGGGAGCCGGGCTGGACGCTGGCGTGTGGGCCGCTGGGAAACCACCTTTCACGTCTGTCGCAGGAAATGCGAGGCTCGTCCACGCGTGGACACAATTCGGTGCCGCATTTGAAAGGGGCGTCGCTGAGGACCTTGCCCGGTTCCCACGCTTCGGAGGGGCAGGGCCCACACTCGGACGGAACACCCAGGCCCGGCACACGCTTCTCCACGCCACAAAGGGCCAATTATTTCACTTAAATTGCAGGATAATTTCGACCTCTCACCTCTGTGGACGCGTGACGGTCATACGTATAAGAAGAACCAGGATCAGATTCAGACACTTTAAAGCTTCCCCACGGCTCCGGGCAGGAACGGTTTTTAGCTCTTGACCTTGGAAATGCCTGCGCGGGGAAACGAGCGTCTTTGCTCCCGGTACAATCTGTGCACCACGCGCAGCTTCCGACCGTGAGTGAGTAACTGGCGAGGGAGGCGGCTAGAGATCCGGAGAAGCCCGTAGAAAGGACCTTCCTGTGCCACCCGCGGAGGAGACACGGGGACAGGGCACGCGTTCTGACGGGCTCCTCCACGCCTCACGAAGAGGATGGCGCACGTCACACAGCCCGGCGGCGAGGAAGCCGAGATGGTGTCCAGCCTCCGTCCCCACGTCCACCCTCTCTGCCCCACGCGGACTGGGAAACGCTCTCTGCCCTTTGGTTTTCGAAGGGCCATTGTCACAGGATTTCACCTGATTTCAGATCAAGCGGAAATTCTGATTCGGTCACATTTCGCTTTGGCCTGAGAGCCAGGGTTGGAGTCGTGACTGTCGTCAGAGCATCGTCTTGTAAGCGTCTCTGTCCGCAGCAGGCTGTCGCGGGGGGCGGGTTTTCCTCCAGCGAGAGGCAGGAAGATGCGTTGCAGGCTGCAGAGGAGGAGATGGTCCGATGACATCGGCCTCATTTCGGGGGGCCTCCCAGTCACTTAGAACTGCAGCTCCTTCCTGTGGGACAAACGGGTGTTTTACAAAATGCCTGCCCTAGGGATTAAAAAGCGGGGTTCCTGGCCCCAGTTCTGTCACCAGTGAGTAGCTCGACCTGAGGTCAGACCATCGTTTACTCTTTTTTTCTTGGAGGTCACCGTTTCTTGGATTTACTTAAGATAAAATAATATGAAAGCACCTTTAGGAATCAAGAAACCCTGTACCCACGCAGAGACGCCGGAACTCAAATCACGCACTAGGAACAACGCGAAACGTGTCCTGGCAGCGCGTGATTGCGGATTCGACCATAGTTACGATTTTATATGTTTCACCAGTTTGCCCAGGTGACCAAGCGATTGAGCCGGACGTGGGGGCGGCTGTGAACCATCGAAGCAGCTAGAGCGGTCTGTTCCGACACAGGTGACAGAGAGCTCTGCAGCTAGACTGTCACCCCGCGGGGCGCTGGGCTCACTCTCTCATGCGCCCTTAGAGGCCCCGCGGCCAGCAGGAGCCCGGGCACAGCAGATACTTAGAGAAGGCATTCGGGGTCGCTGAATCCTTGGAAGGCAGCGTTTACTGGGTCTACATCAACCCGCCTTAAGAGATTTGGAGTTAAACCTAAAGCTCATTGAATAATTAATAGGCCTGCGATGTGTTCGTTCATTCATCCCGTAAATGCGTAATGAGCACCTATCGCTCCCGCATCCTGTACTAGGTGCTGTGGATAAAATGTCCAGCCAGCTGCGATATCCTGTCCCAACGAAGCGTTTTCTATAAAGTTCCTGGGAGTCAGGAGACGGGGCCCAAGCCTTGACTCCACTTCCCACGCGGGCAGGGACGTCCAGCAAGTCCCTCCCCTTCACTGCCCCGGGTCGCGTCCCCTGAAAAGCGGTGAGAATGGCACTCATTTCCCAGGTGGTCGTAGAGTTCAGGTGGCACGGCCGTGTGGGGAG